TCTCGATGGCCCCTAATGACAATTTTCACAGAAGCTGACTGCCAGATCTCTCTTCTACGCTACCACAGAGTGGGTTCGAACCACCAACCTCTAGGTTAGTGGGTTGGGTGCAAACCACTTGCACCACCCAGGCCAGCTTCCGTTCTCCAGGTCGTTCTTGACGTCATCAACCCTCCATCCCTCGATCCCCTTGAACCACAGATGTGCCCTAGAAATTGTAACATGCTGGCAGTGCCTTACACCCAGGGGCCGCCCAGCAGCTCCCGTCAGCTGCCTGGCCCAGTTTTTGGTCTGGAGAATAAAGCTTGATGGACAGTGGGGGGAAGGGCAATGCTTAAAACTTTTCCAGATCTTTCCATCAAAAGGAATTGACCAGGATGGGGAAACAGAACTACGTAGTCTGTACTGAGGAGGCGCGTGCCCCCTTGAAACCTGAGTTTTCTCTTCCATAAAAAGGGGTTGATAGCAACACTGTTGTTGGTTGCCATGGAGATGGATCCTGAGTCTGGTGACCTGGTGTGTTCAGTAAGGCACGGGTGTCATCTTGGTTTTAATTTTCATAGAAAGGAGCCCAGTGGCCACAGTGGGTAAGCACTGAGCTGCTAACTAAAAGGTGGTAGGTTTGAACCCACTAGCAGCTCTGTAGGGGGAAAAGTTACCTGCCAATTTGCTCCCATAAAGATGATCTGTTATCTGTTGTCTACTCCAACCCACAGCGCCCCTACAGGACAGAGTGGAACTGCCCCACAGGGTCTCCAAGGCTGTCAGTCTTTACAGAAGCAAAGCCCAAAACACACCCACTGCCTGGAGTCGATTCTGACTCACAGCGCCCCTATAGGAACAGAGTGGAACTGCCCACAGGGTTTCCCAGGCTATCATTCTTAATGGGAGCAAAGTCCAAACCAAACCCACTGCCTGGAGTCGATTCCAACTCACAGTGTCCCTAGAGGACACAGTGGAACTGCACCACAGGGTCTCCAAGGCTTTTATTTTTACAGAAGCTAACTGCCTCATCTTTCTCCCATGGAGCAGCTGATGGGTTCAAACTGGCAACCTTTCAAACGACCCTAAGGATGACCCCATGGGGCAGTCCTACTCTGTCCTATGAGTCAGAGCTGACTTCGTAGCAACAACAACAGTCTTGATGGACCAGATGGCCGGGGCTTTGCTTCCACGACACCATTGCGTGGGTTTGAACCATGAACCTTTCTGTGGCTAGGAGTCAAATGCAAACCGACTGTGCCACCCAGGGACCAAACGACAACATTGGGGCAAACCATTTGAAATTACCATCTTTGCAGATCAGGAGCCCTTTCACATGGTTCAATCTCAAGCCTACCTCACATGCCCACACTTGGTAGGACTGAGATAATTGCATTCAGCACACGGTGCCTGGATTTGCTGTGTTGTTATTACTTCTCGGAGGCCCTCGATCAGAGCCCACTGTTACTTTACAGCTGGGGCCATCACCATGGACTTCCCGGTCGGGTGGCCGCAGGGCGAGTACAGGGCTGAGAGCCTCACGGCACCAGCTTCTCCCATCCTCACAAGCACACTGTCGCTGTTGTTGTTAGGTGCCGTCGAGTTGGCTCTGACTCATGGCAATCCCATGTACAACAGAACGAAATAGTTGGTATCTCGCCCCCATTTTCAATATGAGACTTCTGAGGCTGGGATCACTGTCAGTACAGAAACACCCACCCAAAGGAGGATGTGAAACCACGTGAAAGGGCACGTGCTGGGGGCCTCCGGGGCTCCCCGCCTCTCAGGACAATCCTTGCTGAGGACCTAGACAGCTCAGCCACTTTCCCTGTGGACTATTCCAATTACAACCCCAGCCTCCTCCTTCCAGCCAAGCCAAGCTGTCATCATTCTGCATGACCTCTTCCTCCAGGGAGCCTTCTTTGATTGCCCCAGCTGGAAAGAGACGTTGGGTGGAGTCAAGGCAGGATCCCCGTCTAACTCCAGAGGCTGTTTTCTTGCAGTGATTCCTTCCGCCTTTCAAATCGTCACTATCACCTTAGCATGGTTCCCATGTGCTATGGCTTCGTATCACCACGTTTACCTTGTCACCTCCTCTGCTCAGAGCCCGCCCATGGTTCCCACCTACTTGGAGAAAAGCCAGCGTCCTCCCATGGCCTGTTCCCTCTCTGCCTCCTCCCGGCCCGGCCCTTCCCTCACCTGGCTCCAGCCCCTGTGGGCTCCTCGCGGTTCTTGAGCCACAACAAGCCCGGATCTACCCCAGGCCCTTTGCACTTGCTGGTCCAGCTGCTCCCTCTGCCCAGAACACCTTTCCCCCAGACGCTTCCATCGCATCTTCCCTTTCTCTTCTCTTCTCCTTCAGGGTTTCACCCAAATGTCACTGTGATAGTTGGAGCTGTGTATCAACTTGGCTGGACCCCAGTTCTGTGTGGTTGTTCCCATGATGGGTTCGGATGACTGTGTTCTGAGTGTCCAGTCTGTCCAAGGGGAATTTCCCTGGGGGTGTGACCTGCTTCCAGGATATCCAGGAACATCCTGGGAAGAGACACATTCTTTGGTGGACTGGGACCCTAGAGTGCTGCCTACAACCTTCCGTGAGAGAGCAGCCCACCGCTCGGCCTGGAGATCTTGGATTCGTCTTTCGTTGGAGTCAACAACCAGTGTACTGCCTGCCAGCCTTGAGTTTCTCGGCCTCCTGCAGTTGCGGAAGCTAAGGCTGCCTCCAGCCCGACGTTTCCTCCAGGGAGTTTGGACTTGCCAACTTCTATACGTTTGTGAGCCATTTTCCTAAGATAAATTTCTCTCTCTCTCTCTCTCT